TGGAGACATCCACAGTGCCTGGGGTCATTTGGCCAAGGAGTTAACATATCACTTAAACTTCTTTATTTTGGATGCTTAGTTACTGGGGCCAAAATAGCAAAGAGTGTGGGTGGCGGGAAATGTAGGCAAGGGAAGGTATTGCCTTCCCAAAAATTCCTACACTCCCAAGCTGCCAGGGAATGCTGTGGCTGTGGCATAGCAGCGTGGCTCCCTGGCTGTCTGAGACAGCTGAGAACATAGAATGGCAACCAGGCTCCTGGACCGCCCAAGAAGGCTGGGACTGCAACTCAGGAACAATGAGGCTGAAATGCCCTTCAACTATGTTAAGGGATTTTATAAAAAGGAAGATCATATTCTCCAGAAGGTACGCCAAAAAGAAATGGGGGTAAGCTGCAGCAAAGGATATTTAGGTTAGATATTAGGAAAAACTTTCTAATGATACAGATAATTAAATATTGGTATAGATTACCAAAAGAGGTTTTAGAATCTGCATCATTGGAGGTTTTTAAGAACAGGTTAGAGAAAGGCATCTCAGAGATCATACAGGTATACTAGATCCTATCTCAGCACGGGTGGTATGGACCTCAAGAGTTCCTTTGCAGTCCTAAATTTCTGTTATTGATATCTAGATAGATAGATATGGTTTTTATCTGTTGACATTGGTGTGCTTATCATGTAGAAAGCATTAGTAAATTTACCTTTACTATTTATGCTAATCACTCATCATCATGCTTTGTTTGCTGTTCAGCTAGTCAAAATATTGGCTTTTGCCAGTGGCAAGCATTAAGTTCATTCTTGCATTGTGAAATTTGAATGTCTGTGTCTTGGAGCAGTAATGCAACATTGCATAATTTAGTACATAGATCAGTATCTCCTACTACAGAAGAGATTGCAGTAAGACTTTTATATTATGCAATGTATGGTCATTGGGCAGAAAAAATAATGGCTGCTTTACATTGCTTTTTATCACAGTTTTCTCTAGTGTGCCAATTAAATAAATTATTACAACTTGACCATTTACGGCTGAAATTACTAAAATATTTATCAGTTACATGAAGGTTAATAGTTCTTTATTTCAGAAGAATGCTGACTCCTTAAACTGAATTTGCATCACATTATTGAAGCAAAAAATAGAGTAATATTTTCATTGAAGAAACAAAATACAGTAATTGGGAATAACAACACAACAAAGGACACAGGAAGCTTATTTGTGATAATTAAAACACAAGTGAATCTGTCAGAAAAGTAAAATAGAGTAACAGTGAGTTACAAGTGTTGAAAAGATCATTCAGAGTCACAGAATTTTTTTGGCCTAAAGAAAAGACAGAAGAGTCCTCTAATGAAAATTCTGTGTATTTTCAGGGAAATGGATAATGGAGTCTTAAAAAGGATAGAAAATGTGTAATGTAAGAATGGGGGTGAGAACTGTGAATAGTTATGATAAACTCTGAGAAAGCAAACAGGAATGGAGAAGGCAAAAGCTGAATTAACAAGAGGACAGAATTGTTTAACAACAAGGAAAGTAGGTTTAGTTGTCAAAAGCAGGACTGATGAGAGGCATCTTTGGGCCCTGGGAGGACCTGGCTCTGGATCCCCAGAAGGGGTGGGGCCTTGGGTGGAAGGGGCAGGGCTTAGGGTTAGTCCCTCCCAGCCAGCCCTTCAGCACCACTGGAACTGCAGGGCATGCATCTCTGGAGGCTCTGTCAGTGATTTAATAGGCCCAGGATTTGATCTCAGCAGTGGCAACATTGATAGCCAGGGATGCTGGGGCAGCTGCCCCATTTCACCCTCACCCCACCTTGTCTTTAACCCTGGACAAAAGAAAAATAAATGGGCAGGAAGAGTGGGAGAAAAGAGACTTCAGAGTGGCTTTAGAAAACATTAAAGAGGGGAAAATGAGCTCACATTACTGAGATTGGCCAGGATCAGATCAAAAATAAAAGAAAAATTAAAGTTAAAGGTGTTAAGGATGGTAAGAAAGATGGCGCGGTATGTGATTCTTGGAAAAGTCTGAACAGGGAATAGCACACACGAACAAAATCAAAATGTGCTGCATTGCTTCATGAAGGTTAACTTGAGGTAATAAAGAAATTAAACCTGTTACCAAATAGTACAAGGCACTTGGAGTACTTATTTGTTAGTCTGTAAGGCTACGTCTAGACTGCAAGCCTCTTTTGAAAGAGGCTTTTTCGAAAGATACTTTCAAAAAAGCCTTTTTCGAAAAAGAGCGTCTAGACTGCAACCAGTACTTTCGAAAAAACAAGCCGCTTTTTCGAAAGAGAGCACCCAGGCAGTTTGGATGCTCTCTTTTGAAAAAGCAGTTTGCATTACATAGCGCCTTTTTTCGAAAGAGCACTTCCGAAAAAAGGCATTATTCCTCATGAAATGAGAAGTACCGCCGTCAAAAGAAAAGCCACATTCTTTCGATTTAATTTCGAAAGAACGCGGCTGTAGTCTAGACGTAGGTGAAGTTTTTTCGAAAAAAAGCTACTTTTTTCGAAAAAACCCTGCAGTCTAGACACAGCCTAAGGTACCAGAGGTCTGCAAGTTGTTTTAGAAAATATTCAAGTTTTCATTTTGAAATAAAAGATATAAAAAAGGGGATGGTATAGAAAAAAACTAGATCTGAAGCAAAGAGCTACATATATAAATTTTGTACAGAATACTCTTCAGAGTAATCATTGGTAACTTTTTGTTCAGACAGTTGAAGTGACTGACATGAAAGTTACCAGTTACAATCCATATATTTGTTCTTTACAGAGGTTTGACTTTTTTACACCTCCTCCACATCCTCTTTAGGAAAAAAAAAAACATTACGTCTGGAGTGACCCTGTTAGATCAGCTATTATGAAGTCTTCAATGTAGAATTTTAAAAATGTTTTGAT